CTGACTGGTCCTTTCTTTAGTACGGTAATGTGACAAAAGTTTGCGACCACCCCACCACACCTCCAGTCGGCAGCAACATGCACAGTGTCTTTGACCAATGATTTCTCTATGTATATTTATTCAAATATAAAGTTGTATATATCAATTCGTAGCGCTTGAAACGTCAATTAATATCTGGTATACCATCCTCGCGCCCGAATCACAGCGCGCAAGCGGCGCTCCATAGAGTCAATAAGTGCTGTAATCTGCTGCTGAGGGATTGAATTGTGCGCAATTTGCACACAGCGTTGGAATTCTATCATATCGATGCTATTGTCACGTAAATTACGTAGATGAGGGAACATTCTTCTAATCTGTCTCTTCAGAATGGCCCAATAGTGCTCAATCGGGTTCAAATCCGGCGAGTTCTTCGGCCAGTCAATATACTCGATGCCCTGATGTTGTAGGAAGGTAGTAACAGTATGAGAGGTGTGAATTCGAGCATTATCTTGCTGAAAACGCCGTGTGCCGTCATAGTGAGGAAGTAGGCCCTCTCGTAAAGCCTTTATATAGCCGCGCCGCTGAGCGGCTTCATCGCGTGTCATCACCACTAAAGGAGTCCTTCCTTCTTTCCAGATACCTCCCCACATCATGACCTGTAGAGTCGGCTTTACATGATCCTTGAGGTTCACCAGGCTCATATTATACTTCTCATGAGGAAACCGGAAGACATAGGCTTGTGGGTTGGATGATTTATTCTGCACAGAGGTCTCGTCGGAGAAGATCACCTGGGCGCGTCAGCGGGGTTCAAGACTCATTAATTGCAAATTAATCTACCTGCTCTAATTCTTCGATGTCCGGAAGCCAGCCTTCTGCCCATTGTAATCTCTGACGAGCAGATTCAGCATCTAGTTTTGGCCTATCCATTGCCTTCCATTTGCGCCCGAAATGCGTGGCCATGACGCGTTGTATCGTACGACGCGAGACCTGCGTAGGTGTTGCACCAATCAACGCGTCGTATGAAATCTGGCGATCACGAGAGGCCATGCGGATAGTATACCTTCTTGCTGTTCGTGATAACTTCAAAGGACGCCCTTTTCGAGGCTTTACGGCAAGTGTGTGGCTTTCAGTCCATGTTTTTTTGATACGTAACACTGTGGAATGCGTCGTGTTAAACTCCTGCGCGACACGCCGGGCAGATACACCGGCATCCAGCATTGTCAGCATGGAGGCCTTGGCTTCAGAACTGTGTTGATAGCCTCTTTGACGATTTGCACTAATTTCTGTGCCGAAACTACGCCGTTGAGGCATTATTTGCGATTTTGGTGGATTTTCAAAGAGAATGCATGCATCGATGGTTGTTGATGTAAGTGGGTGGTTCGGTGTGGGGTGGTCGCAAACTTTTGTCATGTAACTGTACTACTACTATGTGGTAAGGTATTCAGTGGGCCTGTCCCTCTGCGGGACTTCGCTTTGGAAGACGAAGACGACTCTTTGGGAAGAGTCTAAGCGGTGGCATTGGAGGCATCTGGCGGCTGTGATATTGAGAAGGCAAATCCTGCCGTATAGAATATAGGCTACTAGTTATAAGAACTGCCGAAAAGAATGTTAGTAAGCTTACACTTTTTGCTCTTTTTGACGCAACAAATCCAGGACCAAGTGCAGTGAGTCGTCTGTAAGGGGGGATTGGATTGAGGCACTGCGAAAGTCCTTGACCGACTCTTCTCTAGATGTAGGTGGCAAGGGCTGTGGTGTTAGGTTGCTGTACTTATACTACATAGGCGGCCAGATGGATGAGGTGGCGGATAAGCTGGAATGTGTTCTGCGTGAAGATCCGGGGTTTGCTCATGATGCGAGATGCTTATCAGTAGGTCGCTGGCTAACACAGTGCAGGGCATAGAAAATCGCTGCTTCCGTCGGGACGGTGTTAACAGTGGCACAGGCCCCAGCACCTGGAGTGGCTACCTGTTTCCATGGTCGACGCTCAGGGGCTTGTAAGACCCTCATTTGGTGGCGTTATTGCATCGGCGTTAGCCGAGTGAATCTCAACGGCCCAGCCGTTGACACACAAGGCATTTGATGCGAGGAAACGGACGATAACTATCTGGAGCAGCAAAAACAGCTCGGAAATCAAGAATGCTTGGAGAAATAAAGTCAGCTGTAGTTTGTTGGACTGGTACCTTACCTAGAGCGGCCCAAAATTGCAAGACAGCCCAAAATACCGGGACAGCCAAAAATGCTAGTAACAAGTAAGATTCTCGGTTGTTTTCATAAATTCCATCCCAATGAAAGTTGCGATAGGGCACCGCGGGCGAGGGATATAGCGATTGGGCTTTTTAGGTCTGTACACGTGTATAGAGCGCTTGTTTGTCGCGAATGTGCATTTGCTATTCTTGTCGATGAAGCAGGTCCGCACCATTCTAAAAGGGCATCGACATCAAACTTGCTCCCATATCGCCGTCTCTAGGACCGAGCACTACGTATAGCCATGGCGGATACCGCACCCACGATTCCCTCCCTCAAAATATCCTTCATCACCGCCCAAAACAAACACCCTCTGCCAACCCCTCGCACCATCACGGATCTGGCGCCGCAACAACGCGTCGAGCAACCCCATTCCGGCGCGTATTCTCGACGACGTCCTCTTCAACCTCAACCAAACGATGCAACTACATTACCGACGTGTACACCCTCCACAAGCGATCTATAATGTCGCCGAACAGATCAGCAATGAGATGCCGAAGAAAGAGTGAACAACTTGAGGGAGTCGGAGAGCACTATTGGACGAGAGCTGGACTTAGGTGCGACACTTGCATTATTTTTTGGCCTATATGTATTTCTTAACCTAATTCAATTGTAGCCGCGGATGATGCGATTGAAGAACTGCCTTCTTTGTGGCCGATTGAGGCCGACCTTGACAAGTATCCTGAGGGTGCAGACCCACATGAAGCCATTGTCCTGCGATTAACGCAGCTGAGTGAAGAGCGGAAAACGTTAGGCTTCGTGTGGAAAAGCTGCGTCGGATCGGAGACACCGTTCAGCCGCTGTCCGCGACTAACGAGAGAAGTATTCAGGATAATCTGATCACACGGGATGGACCAGTGGAGAAGGAACCGGAGAGAACGAGAGTCTTGCTAGCAAGAGTGACGAGTCGCGTGGCTAATTTGCCTTACTAGCCTGTGAGCAATCGCCCACAATCTACAACTGGCTCAACGGTGGATTTGGGAGGAATAGCCAACTCAAGGGAGAGGAACATAAAGGGCTTCTTCCAGGCACACGCAGAAGAAGCCACAGTGGAGACCTACGCCACGGAAGCTTCGAATTCTGCCAGAGTACTTCGTCCCGTGTGTTTTTCACAATTTGACAAAGATGGACGTTCCCGCCCAAGGCACTCAAACATGTCGCCAGGAAGTCTATGACAATTCCAGGATCTATCGTGTCTCCTTCCTCGATGTGCTCCTCCGCGCTTTCATCACTTTTGGTTTCATCTCATTCACCTCTTGACGACTCATTTTGGAGATTATCTTGATCAAAGATGATTGGAATGCATCGTCCTTGAACCTGACAAAGGGTATTGAGACGGCGGATGCTGGAAACAGACGCTTGAATCGGCCTTGAGTACCCATGGTGTCTTTGTTGCGAGGGGCCAGCTCAAAGAATTCGAAAGTGACTGACTCGGCGACGCGACACACGAGTATAGCGGCATTTTGTGCCTGAACATGGATTGGAAGGAAACCCTCTAGTTCTGGGTTCAGCATTGGCTTTTTGCAAGTGGTAATTCAGTGTCCTTGGGCACCCTGTTCTGCCAAATTGTGGAAGGCACGCTGTAGTCCGACCTCGTCAACGTGACCTTGATCATCTCTCAATTGATGAAGGCGATCGACGGCGTCGTGGGCAACATCGACGAGTCCTTTGAAATCAGGTTCAACCTGTGTACGATAGCTTCCGAGGACGCTGGATGTAATTGTCAAGAGTGCCTTGTCATATCTCAAATGCTCAGGACCATCCCCACATTGAGGCAGCTTCGGGGGAAGAAAGACGTGATGAATGACGTGACGTATTTCTGCTTCCGATATCAGTTTTGTCTTGTACATATGAGCACAGGAAATAGATCTTGTCAGGTGAATAGGTTAAAATTTGGGAAAGTTGTTCATGACTGTACTGGAGATTTATTTGTCTATGAAGCTGGCCTTTGTGGTGAGATACTTGGGCGATGACACACGGGACCATGGCACAACCCATATCTCGCTGAGCTACATATGCAGAAAGCAATCGAGTCAATGAAAGACGATTAATTTGAGAAGTTGTTGGATTGGCCAAACAGCGCTGCTTGTCCTCCCGCGCGATTTCCCTTTCGAACTGCAGATCGTGGGCCCAAGCCTACGAATTATTAGGAGAGGCGGTGAGTATGCGACGACAACACACAATGTTCCCCGTCGTTGTGCAGAACGCGACCGTTACCTTTTACCAAAGCAGATAGAGATTGGCAGCAGCAAGCGGAACGGGGTTGCGTCGCAGGTCTCGGCCGCGACTGATCCAGCCGGAGGGATGGTGCTGAGCAGTTTGGCGGCTGCGACCACGGACGCGTACTAACACGCCGCTAGACGGCAGGCCTTTGCGACCATCGGATGTTGGTGAACGACAGGACAGGCCTTCGCACCCGGTGGTACCTCCACACGAAACAACCCTCCCCGGTGCGGCTCGCCGAAGACAACTCGATACTTCCAACCCCAGCCTCATGGCACCTGTCAACGGCTCCACCACCGGCGCTTGCTGTCACGGATCCTGTCCGTGACACGCTAGAGGTCAACCTGACATGTTTCGATCGGATGACATGACAATAGATACTTGGGTGCCCGAATAAACTCAACATCCTACTCGTCCCGATCCGACCAACATTAACCGCATGATTACACTAGAAATATGAGGTACATAAATATGAGCAGTAGAGAGCAGACCAGATCTGGCTATGATTTCTCCAAATAGGAAAACGAACCTTTGTCGCTCTCGCAAAGATTACTCAAGTCATCGACGGAAATTCGCCTTTGCCTGTGACGAGACACCACCATAATAATGCACCATAAGCACAACTAACTAGGGGGGGCACGGCTGATGGTGGAGCTCTAGGGATGCTGCAGCGAGAGCCAGTGGTCACCTTTGTCTGATCGGAACAGTTATCCATGAACCTGGCTAACGTGATATGCAGCCTCAGGCACTTCTCTCAACATATTCCACAATGTCAGAAAAGTTATATAACAGCCGCGGAAACATTTATTGAACCGCATCATCTCTACCCGTCATGCCAAATACCTTGTGGCGTACGTAGTTATATCCTCTCCCGATCATTTTCCGAAAGTGCTGTTTAGCGCCCGTGGATGGTTGCTGCGCGAGCTGCTCTTCATTCAGTGCCAGTTCAAACTCCCCGCGACCGGACCTTTTGAAGCCCTCACAGTCTGCGTACAACGACGGGCTCGACTTGTCCGGCGAGTCAACGGCGTGGTCGCGATAGCTATGTACGTTACCTGAGGTAGCTTCTGTGGCCAAAGGTGCGCCAATCTCAGCAGCCGAATGAGGCTGCTCTTTCCAGTTCCAGTATCGCCGATGAAGACCACTCGCGGGTGACACTCCGAAGCTGATATACCATACGCCTGGCAATGCTCTTCGACAATCTGGTTGAACCTCTCATATTCTTCCAGGTGTAGGGCATTGTCTCCCGATTTGTCTTTGCCCTTGTCCTTCACTTTCCTCACAGCAAACCAGAGGGACGTACATCCCGTGTGTGATGCTCCTCCCGGGTTTCGCTATCGTTCGCGGCAAGTACATTTCGGAAAAATTTTGCTTCTCAGCTTCTGCCCTAGCTTGATCCGAGCTTTGGCTTGGGTGGTCGCCGTTGGACTTCATCACGCATCCAGAGCTTCAAATATAGGAACCAGGCAAACTTACTACTCCGAGATTGGTATCCCCACATGACGGTACCAACTCGGTGGATGACGTGACCAGCATTGGCCGCAGATTTGCCTACACATATTGCAGTACCAGTCCACTTGCCCAATTCCACACGAATGACATAGTCTAAGGGTAGGCAATCTGAAGGGAAACATGGGTTGCGAGGTGCCCACTGCGGAATGGGGTTCGGTCGGCGTAGTCGTAGTTTCAATGAGCCAGGCTGGACCAAGTGAGGCCCGAGGTCCTGCCGATCGCTCAGCAACGGTTGTATCATCTCAGACAGCGCGATTGCATGGGACACAAAACGAGACTCTTGATTTCCTACATAAAGCATGGAATGATATGAAAACCAAATACTTATTGTAATACTGCTGCCTGCCAGGCAAAAACTAGGCATACGCTCTTATCTATGGAATGTATTGCGTCCCGACGAAC